GCTAAGTAAACAAACAAAAATTAGTTAGGTTAATATTTCTTTTTTTGTGGTTTTGTTTTATCATATCTCTCTACACAATTAATTGTTACAAATATGTTTGTGTCTGATTTTCTTAAAAATTAGTGTGTGTAGTTTGTGGTATAAGTAGAAGAGAAAATGTGGTTAGGGAAAGGGAAATGTGAAATAAAATTAAGATGTTATCATATTCCAAGGAAATGGTTTTTAATTTTAATATAAATTTGGTATAAATAACAAAATAAAAACGTGGTTCCGAAAGTGCATATATGTGATATGGTTATTGTTACATTTAACCTGACAGGACAGTGATATTTATAAATAATATTGTTAATAGATATTCTTAGATACACGTAAGAATACATACAACATCTCAATTAAAATTGATAAATCTGTCAATCTTAAATCTAATCAATATTCCATGACAATGTCTTAAGGTTCTTATTAATGTTCTTCACTCAAAGAAAGTATCAATCCTTTAAGACAATATCAAATGCGCTTGTGAAGAACTGTGATTAACAAAACGTTCATCCTTTAAGTACGTTTACAAATTAATCAAGAGGATAATTAAACATAATTAATTACTAATGCAAATGAAGATGTTGACGCAAGAAATGTTTTTAGGGTTTTAATGTACGTGGCATCCTACATAACGTTGGGAATATAAAATGTCTTATTGTACAGCATAATAGCTTATATTTGAGTGCAATATATTGTGAGCATCAAATGAAACTTACTTAGCTGGCTTGTTATAGAACGGTTGTTCCACAAGTCGATTTTAAACCAGTAAGGAAAATAGTAAAGTCGGACGGGGCCGACTATATGATACTCTTTTCCACTTTGGCTATATTCAATGGATGAATTCTAACAGACCTCACATTTTTTAAGGACCATTGACATGAAAGTGGGCTACTTTAATTATATGATCTGTGTCTTATGTGAACCGGCTTAACCGAACGTTTAATAACCGAGTACATTTGTAAATTTATATTTTTGATCAGCGTAATATTCTATGACGATTTTACCATTCCGTCTTTCTGTTGTCTAGTCTCTAAACTACAAGATTGAGTTGTCTTTTGTCTGCAGCAGGCAGGTCAAGTTCGAAGATGAACTAATGGATTCTTCTTTGGTACATCAATCCACACATATGTTCTCAGTAAGCTATGCCAAGATTAAATTCGTTTAAAAAATTATGTAAATCAATCAAACTATTCATGATGCTACAACACAGAGCGCTTTAATTCTTTGGTTCACAATTTGCTAAAAATCGGACAAACATATATGTGGGACCTATATATACATCTGAACCGACTTCACTAAAACTTGGACCACTTTAGGCTATTATAACTTTAGTACGTTGTGCAAAAGTTCGTGACAGTCGGACTAAATGTGACTCTTTGGTGCCCAATGTGCTAAAAATCAGACGAAAATATATATGGGAGCAATATCTAAATCTGAACCGATTTCAATAAAACTCGGCACACGTTATGCTATTCTGATCCTGGAAAGACCCACAATAAACACATCGACACATTCCACCTATCCGTTAAGAGGTGCTTAAAATCATGTCCCCGTTCGGCATTCCTGCAAAATATGCAAAATATATATGGGAGCTATATCTAAATCTGAACCGATTTTTCCCAATTTCAATAAGGTTCGTTCTTGGCCAAAATAAATGGTCTGCGCCAAATTTCATTCAATTCGGATAATAAATGCGACCTGCACTTTGTTTACAATTTAACATGGACAGATAGACGGACGGACATGCATAATACGACTTAGAAAGTTATTCTAGGCATATCCTCAAAAGGAACCATGGGTCTATCAGCCGGTTACAAACATACGCACAAAGACACAATACCCTGTACCACAGTGTGGGAAAGGGTATAAAAATATTTCCATGCGTGTCGGTCTTGTGAGCAACTCTTCCAATTTGAAATACAATGATTCGAAATGTTCTCTTATTTCCATCTAGCCAACAGTTGGCTCGCTTTTATATGCCTTTTGAGCTGGGGTATCCTTCTTTATTCTCACGATATGACCTAGCCTCCGTAGTCTCTGCAGCTCAATACGACTGGTTGTGTCGATGTCCGCGTATAGATCGTAAAGCTCGACGCCGGTATTCACCGTCGCCGCAAATTGGCCGGTAGATCTTTCGGATAATTTGTCTATCAAACACTCCAAAAGCTGCCTCATCTGCTTGCGAAAGTACCCATGCTTCAGATCCATATAACAGCACGGGTAGTATCAGTCTTGTAAAGTCTGAGTTTGATGGCGAGAGGTGGCCTTGTTTGTAAACTGCTAACTTAGACCATAGTAGCATTTGGTGGCCAACACTATCCTTTTCCGAATTTCAAAACTGTTGTCATTAGTTTTATCAAATTAGTTATCAAATTCAACAGTTGGTCCGAGTCTACTGTACCTTTTGCGCGTTGATACCATCAGCTCTCAATGTTCGACCAATTCTGTCGATGTCATCGGCGTAGGCGAGTAACATGTCTTGTTTGGTGTACAGAGTGTAATTTCTGTTCACCTTTGCCTCTCATATGACCTTTTCCAGCAGTTTAGTAAAAATATCACACTACAAACTATCACCTTGTCTGAATCCTCGTTCGGTATTGAAGAGCTCCGATAGGTCCTTTTCGACTTTAAGTGCTGACCATGTCACACTTAAAACTATCGTGCATGCCGAACACAGACATGGCTTTAAATGCATCTAAAGGGGTAGAAATGTCGAATGCGGCGTTATAGTCGACGAATAGGTGGAATGTGTCGAAGCGTTTTTCGTGGGTCTTTTCCAGGATTTGGCGCAGAGTGAAAATCTGGCCAATGGTGGATGTGCCAGGTCTGAAGCCGCATTGGTATGGTCCGATGATGTCATTGACCATTGGCTTCAATCGTTCACACAGCACACTGGATAGCACTTTATATGCGATGGGAAGGAGACTTATTCCTCCATAGTTGGCACATATCTTGTCTCCTTTTTTGTGCACGGGACACAGGATGCTGAGGTTCCAATCATTGGGCATGCATTCATCTAGCCAAATTGTACTAATCAGCTGGTGCATGCTCCTGACCAGCATCTGGCACCAGTATTGAATAGTTCAAGTGGTAACCCATCGGCTCCTGCTGCTTTATTGTTCTTGAGCCGATTAATTGCTTTTATGACCTCATCTTGGCTAGGTGGTATACACTCTATACCATCATCTCTTATTGGTTCTGGGGTATCTTCTTCATCGCCACTATTTGATACTAGTAGCTTTTCGAAGTGCTCCTTCCAGATCCTCAACACGCTGTCTGTATCTGTCACCAGGTTTCCTTCTTCATCTCTACAGGAGGATGTGCCTGCACCAAAGCCTTCGGTTTGGTGTTTTACTCGTTGGTAAAATTTCCGGACTTCATTCCAACTCCTGTACATCTCGATTTGCTCACTCTCACGTTTTTCTCGTTCTTCCTTTTTTTTCTGAAAACACGTTTCTCCTCTCTCCTTTTCTCCCGATAATTCTCCATCACGTTACGTGTTGCTACTGTCTGCAGGGTTGCCCTATACGTTGCGTTTTTCACATCAGTAGCATTACGACACTCCTGATCGTACCATGGGTTTCTTGGTGGTGGTTTTTGGTACCCAAGTGTTGTTTTGCTGCAGTTTGTAGGGAGTGGGCAATTCTTTGCCATTGTGCTTCTATACTATTATCGGGACAAGAAGAGCTTTCTTCAAGCAGATGGGTAAGTTGAGCAGAGTAGGCCTCGGCTACCTGTTGTGTTTGCAGCTTTTCGACGTCGAGTTTCCGTGTTGTATTAGATCGCACCTTTGCTACAACATTAAGACGGGTGCGTACCTTGACTGCACAAGGTAATGGTCCGAATCGATATTCGCTCCTCGGATCGATCGGACGTCTAAAACACTGGATGAATGCCTTTCGTCTATCAGAACATGATCAATTTGATTTCTCGTTGCTTGATCAGGAGAGATCCAGGTGGCCCTGTGTATATCGAGATGCTTGAATCTGGTGCTGCTAACTACCATGTTTTTTGCTGCTGCGAAGTCAATCAACCTCATGCCGTTGTCGGATGTTTCTTCATGAAGACTGAATTTTCCGACGGTAGGGCCAAAGATATTTTCCCTTCCGATTTTTGCATTAAAATCTCCTAGCAGAATTTTAATGTCATGGCCAGGTCAACGGTAATATTCTGTTTCTAGGCGCTCGTAAAATATGTCTTTGATCTGTTCATCTTTGTCTACCGTCGGATGGGTGTCGGATATCCTATTTGCATGGGTGCAAATAAGACTGATGTAGAAAAACTTCGCTTTTATACGGATTATAGAACTTCTCTCATCTACTGGAGTGGATCTGGAGACAATGTATTTTGTTCTTGTATTAACCATAAATCCGCAACCAAATTCACGTCTAGTTTCATGACAGCTATAAGACAGGGCGAAATCATCTGATTTACTTACGTCAGTTCCTTTCCATCGCATTTCCTGTAAGGCAATAATATCAGCTTTGTACTTCTTGAGTACATCCGACAAGGCAAAAACTGCGCCACAACAATGTGCGCACATTCCAAGTACAGATTCGCAGATATTTGGGGGGTTTGGTTTTCTTTTTCGTTGTGTTTTCATAGTAGGAGGGAGTTTCCGAGTGTGGGCAACTAACCCGACGCCTCAATCCATTTTTTATTATCTTATGGATGAACTCGCGGCACATATCTACTCACTTTTTCAATGGATGATGAAAATAGTTCCCACCGATGACACCGCGGGGAGGTCAGGGTCCACAATTGAGATGAAAGAGCGACCAAGATAAGCCAGGGCTTCGTCATGTTAAAGCCAACCAGAGCCGTTGCTATCATCCCATTACACTATTTATATAGAATTTTTTTTTAATTTTCAAAAACAATTTATTTTTTCACAATTACAAATATATTTAACGAAATAACAATGACTCTAACAACAAATCTCTTTGGCTCACATCACTGTACACTTAAGCACGGAAACGGAACAAAGATGAAGGCAAGTACTTATTTTGGGGAACTTGTGGTTCAGGACCAGCACGAACTGTAGCTTTAGAAGCAAAGTTAATAACGGGAGCAACACCACCATTGACATTAAGAGATTTTCCACCCAACAAATCGTATTGACTTTGGATAGCTCTTTGGGCGTTGGCAGCATCTTCAGGAGTGCGATATTTGACAAAGTGAACTTCGGGTTTGTTGTTGTTGTTCTTGCTGACGGCATTAAGTTTATTGGCCAATTCACCCAAATCAGTTTGTTTGTTGAGGACATAGATGGCGGTCTTTTGTTCGGCAGCTTGTTTGGCCAAGGCAAGAGCAACATTCTCCAGGCCATTATTTTCGGGACCCTTAATGAAAATAACGCGGAGACCTTTCTTTAGAGAACCAGCAATACGTTGAGCAGCCTCCGCGTCATTGAATTCACCTTCAGGGGCGGAGAATGAGAAGAATTCTTTTTCGTATTCAACGGGGGCGGTGAATGGGGCAACGCCGCCGGACCTGGTGACAGGGCCAGAGACTGAAGGAGGCGAATATTTGCTTGGGGAAACATAGGAAACGAATGGAGTCTGGATAGTTCCAGTAGCAACAGTGCCAGGTTTAAATGACAATCCTGTGCTGGAGTGATCAACTGGTTTGTAGTTGTAACCCAATTTGTCGGCACAGGCGACCGAAACCAAGCATAAAACCTACAATGAATAGAAAAAAAATTAATTTAAATTATTTTAATAAATATTTTTAGGATATTTTGAATTTTAAAAAATATATTTTCATTGAAAAACTTTATTTCACACTTACAATGAAAGCACGCATCTTGATTAGTTTGTTTGTTTTGTTGCTGTAGACGAATTGTGTCTATGCCTACTCCAAAAATTGCCTCTATTATTTATACTAAACGCCGGGCAATAACGATTTTAAAAATGTTTCTCGTTAGAAGTCATTGTTAAAATACCGACTTTAATTCCGATAATAATTTATGACCATAAATACCGGAAGTTTTTGTTTTTTTAAGTGGATGCCACCTACAAATGACCTATAACATCTTCCATTGTCACGAAGTCAACGTGTGTGTGTCTACGTGCGTTAATCATTTGATCTACCAATTAGGCCGTAACCAGTTTTAGGCCTCCAAAGTAACACAGTAACAGCCGCACACCGATTGGTAGCCTATAAATGGACCAATTTACATAATGATTACCATTGTCTGCTGGCACCGGCTAGAATCTTATCATAATTATTACCGAAGAATGCATATTTTATGGTAATAATTTGTTGTTGTGGTGCTATCTGGCCTGGGTTTATTTGAATATGGAATACGCTTTTAAACGCTGTGAAGTTACACATTTGGTTAATGAGTCGAATAGTTTTGGAATGTGGGTTAGAATCGGTTTATTCAACTTGTTGGTATGTTAGGGTCGCCAAGAATAAATGATGTGTGTGTTTGTTTGTGTGCAGACACCAATTTCGGCGGCATCAATATGGTGACAATTTTAATGATACAAGGTTATTAGGCTGGTTGTGGTAGACCGGCCCATCTGTGAAATATGTTTATGGTTATTAAGTTTTCAATTTTTGTTGAGATAGACGAAGATCAAAATATGGCTTATCGATTAATGTGTCAATGATTGGATTATGGATTATTAATATGGAACGGAATACACCATTTCTAGGTGAAATTTAAAACATACGTTATTTAAAAGATAAAGCTTATGAGCTTAAAGCTTATGTTATTTCCTTTAATCCGTTAATTTGAGAATATACTTAGAATCCTTTTTTGGTCGATTTATGTATGTATGTCCGTCCGTCCGTCTGCCCATGTTAAATTGTAAACAAAGTACAGGTCGCATTATTGATTCGAATTGGATGAAATTTGGCCCAGCTCATTTATTTGGCCCAAGGAAGAACCGTGTTGACATTGGGGAAAATCGGTTCAGATTTACCAACGTCCCTATATATCTTTCGATTTCTCCGAAATTCCTCTTTTATCTTGGTCCTCTTTCATCTCAATTCACGATCTGCGAATCTGCGTGTGCGCACGTTGTACTCCCGATATTATTGCTTTACAGGAAATGCGATGGAAGTAAATCAGATGATTACGCCCTGTATTATAGCTGCCATGAAACGAGACAGCATATGATCGTTTCCCTGGCCATGACATTAAAAGTCTGCTAGGAGATTTTAATGCAAAAATCGGATGGGAAAATATCTGTGGCTGAAAATATCAAAGGCTGAATTTTCCGACGAAAAATTTCACCGTCGGAAAATCCAGCCTCCATGAAGAAACATCAGACAACGGCATGAGGTTGATTGACTTCGCGGTAGCAAAAGCAATGGTAGTTAGCAGCACCAGATTCAAGCATCTCGATATACACAAGGCCAATTGGATTTCGGACAACGATCGGACAACGAGAAATCAAATCGACCATGTTGCGATAGACGGAAGGCATTCATCCAGTATTTTAAACGTCCGATCGATCCGGAGAGCGAATATCGATTCGGACCATTACCTTGTGGCAGCCAAGGTACGCACCCGTCTTAATGTAGCAGCAAAGGTGCGATCTAATGTAACACGGAAAATTGACGTCGAAAAGCTGCAAACACAGCAGATAGCAGAAGCCTACTCCGCTCAACTTACCCAACTGCTTGACGAAAACATCCCTGGTTCCGATAATAATATAGAAGTACAATGGTAGAGAAGCCAGAAATCCGTGGTACGATCAGGAGTGTCGTAATGCTACTGATATGAAAAACGCAGCGTATAGGGCAACCCTGCGGACAGTAGCAACACGTAATGCGATGGAGAACTATCGAGAGAAAAGGAGAGAGGAGAAATGTAAAGAAGGAAACCTGGTGACAGATACAGACAGCGTACTTAGGATCTGAAAGGAGCATTTTGAAAAACTTCTGATATCAAATAGTAGCAGTGAAATGGATACCCCAGAACTGATAATAGATGACGGTATAGAGTGTATACCACCTTGCCAAAATGAAGTCAGAATAGCAATCAATCGGCTGAAGAATAATAAAGCAGCAGGTGCCGATGGGTTACAAGCCGAACTGTTCAAGTCTGGAAGTCAGATACTGGTAAGGAGCATGCACCAGCTGATTAGTACAATGTGGCTAGAAGAATGCATGTCCAATGATTGGAACCTCAGCATCCTGTGTCCGGTGCACAAAAAGGAGACAAGACGATATGTGCAAACTATAGAGGAAAAAGTCTCCTACCCATCGCATAAAAAGTGTTATCCAGCATACTGTGTGAACGACTGAAGCCAATGGTCAATGGCATTATTGGACCATACCAATGTGGCTTCAGACCTGTCAAATCCACCATTTACCAGATTTTCACTCTGCGCCAAATCCTGGAAAAACCCCACGAAAAACACATCGACAAATTCCACATATTTGTCGACTATAAATCCGCATTCGACAGCCATATTCGTTCAGAGGTGTCCAAAGCCATGTCAGCGTTTGGTATTCCTGGCAAAATTAATTCGGCTATGCAGGGTAACTTTAACTGGCACAAGATCAGCAGTTAAAGTCGGAAAGGACCTCTCGGAGCCCTTTAATACCTAACGAGGATTCAGACAAGGTGACAGTTTGTCGTGTGACCTTTTTAACATCCTTCTGGAAAAGGTCATACGAGAGGCAAAAGTGAACAGAAATGGCACTCTGCACACGAAACAACACATGTTAGTTACGCAAGTATATGAGACAGCTCTTGGAGTGTTTGAGAGAAAAATTCTCCGAAAGATCTATGGGCCGAGCTGCGGTGACGGTGAATATCGCCGTCGAATGAACCATGAGTAGTACCAGCTATTCTCGGACATCGACATTGTTAAACGTATTGAGCTGCAGCGACTACATTGGCCATGTTGGCCATGTTGGCCATGTTGTGAGAATGGATTAAGATGCCCCAGCCCAGAAGCCATATCAAAGCGAACCAGTTGATGGTTCACGCAGAAGGGGAAGGCCAAAAATACGATGGAAAGATCAAGTTGAAGACAACATTGCCGAAAATGGTCTTTCAAATTGGAAAAACTGCGCAATAGACCGACGCGCGTGGAAAAAAATTCTAAGCTCAGCTTCTGTCACAAGCCAGCTAAATAAAAAAATAACTTCCATATATAATTTCGACCTATTCATGTTAATTGTACACCAAATTATAAACGGGTATCTGATTGAGATTAAATCTGAAACAGTGCAGCATACAAAATATCGTGTGTCAAGTTTGCTTTAAACCATTTTTTAGCATAGGTTGCAAAATGACATGTGTAGGGATTAATGTTAGTCGGTTTACATACAGATTTATGCGTGTCTGATTGTCCGTCTGTTAAAATCACGACAGAAATCACAATATTTGATATAGAAATTTGAAATTTTGCAATGGCATTGCTATTGCTCCTAGCATAGTTAGTATTGAAAATGGGGTATATTGGTCCCCCTATTAAGGTACCCTCAACAATTCGGTGTTATGGGGATTTTTGACACGTTTTCGAACCAAATTGGCTGCAATGTGCTACTTTTGGTTCTCATTGGGTGTCAAATCTTCCTACCGAAAATGATCAATATTGGTAGGGTAGCCCTCATATAACGGCAAGCCCATCATATGTCATGGAGAAATATATATTTTGGATTGGGCATGTCTAACTGAAAATGGACAATTTTTCTATCAAACCCATCAACATTTATTAAGTTGTGATTCATTTTGGTCTTGTTAATTTAACATTCCAAACTTTTTTTCCTCTATTTTTTAATTCCTCTAAAATTTAAAATATTACATTCAAGGTAGACATCTTAAGAATGTCTAAGTTAAAAGGTCTACCATAACGTCAACTACCTTCCAAACGTAAAACTGTCAATTTGTCACCCGTCTTCCATAACACTTTAAAAAACTACAACGACTAAAAATATGTGAGTGTGTCAAGATGTTAAAAAGGTATTGTTCGTTGCAGACATTCACCATGTTTCAGCCAGCCAGCCAGGAGAATCACATGTAAAGTTTTCTCACTTTTTACAGTCAATCATTGGAATTTGATAGAGGATTAAATTCTTAACTTGTCGAAAAGAGAAATGGATTGAAATATAACAATCCAGTAAGATTTTTGCATTCACTGAGGCAGATGATGCGGTGACAGGGTTCCGCCGACGACACTGCCGCTGATGAATTAAACATGATCGATGAAAGCTCAACCCTGCTTATAATAATAGCGATGCTACGTACGATTGTTGGGGATGAGGCATTTTAAATACTTTCACTACAATGGCTTATCGAATTGGAGCGTATTTTGTTCTGTCTGTCTGTTTGCTTACATGTCTGCCGTTGGTTGATAAGTGACAGTGTAAATAATCGCAAATAAATACAACCATCCATCCATCCAGTCAGACATTCATTCATTCGTTCCCTTCCATTCTCTCATTATTAAGGATAATCATCATGTCATCATTATTTAATTGAAATCCTAAGAGCTTAACCACATTTTTCAATTTCAATGGAAACTTCGTTTTTTACTCTGTTGTGATTTGTTGTTCATCGCTATTGTATTGATGTTGTTGTTGCATATTGTTTATCACAGCTGTTGGTTGTTATTGTTGTTATTTGTATTTTCACATTATAAATGACAGTTATCGTCAGCATCATTTGACATGATTTTTGGAAGGTATGGGGAATAAAGATTTGGTGAGGGGGAACTCTATTTGGTAATTAGTTACACGAAGGATTTGGAGGATGAACTTAAAAATCTGAGATACCAAGTTTACCATACTTATATCTTAGTAATCTGAAATGTAGTCAAACGAAATTGGAAGCAAAA